TATTCTCTGGAAACGCGGACAATGATTTTAAATGCACAGAGGCATTTAGCGAACCGCTTGATCGCGGGACTGTCTTTAAGGTTTTTGGAGAAGCCCTCACCTTAATTGCAGTAAATCCAGCTGTGCACTAGTGTAAAAACCTCTTGAATAGCCCTCCCCTCATCTTTCGAGGAAATCAGCGCCATCGATTACATTACCTTGACTTTGCAAAAATACCATTGAGACGTTGCTGGTCTCATCGAATGACGGCAATAACTCTTCTAGATAGACTAGGAAGCTTGCTGTTTTTGCTTATGGAAAGCGAGGTTTACAGTCATCGAAATCGCCCATTTTTCTGCAAGTCGATCTTTACGCGCTAAAAATTCTGCCATTGAGTACGTGATGTCCTCCTAGGTGATTGAGCAGTGCTGTCAGTTACGACGTAGCACTCGCCACGGCAATCATCAGTTGTTTCAGCTACTCTTACTACCGAACGCACATGCAGCCTTTCGTCCACTCATTTTCATTTCAAAATTCGATTATTGAATACTCAGCTTTATTTTAATACGGTTTAACTTTACTCAAACCCTCTCAATAAGTCCATTCAAACTCCATTTGAACGGTACATTCAGATCGATCAATTGTCATCAATGTCCTGGGTATTTCGTACGTCGGGGATCCCCGTCAGGACTATTTTGCTTTGAGGGAAGAAGACGTGAGGACATACGCGCTTTTGAGAAAATTTTTTTGGTTATCGATTTTCTTGCTTATTCCCTTCTTATAGGCACTATAGACCCCCGCTCGACGACAGGTTTCGAAAAAAGTGGAATTTGTCCTAGTGTAAGAAAGTTGGGGACAATTTAGGAACATGGGAGGTGAGGTCGGGTATGGCCTGATCTCTTCGCGAAGGGCCACTAAATTTTATAAGACCCAACGATGCTTTTGAAGTTCTGTATCTTACTACCATTCCAAATCCATTTCTAAGCATCTTCCGGAACCTTTTTCGAAACACCTTTTCATTTTTTACACTTCTAAATTGAGTTGGGCATTATTTATTTTCCCAACCGACTTCCGGCTTGATTAAAGTCTGGCCCAATTTTGATCGAAGTTTTCCCTGAAAATAGATTTGACTGGAATTTCGTGTTTTTTTGAGGACATATTTGACTCGAATTTCGTCGGCTTGGATAGTTCGCTGTCGTGAATTGGAACCTCACACTATCGTGACGCGCCCTAGGGACTGTCGCCAAAAATATCAGATCACTGAATTTGTTTCAGCTCTATCTAGTTTGATTCCCCAAGAGAACATCACGCCTGGTCATCCGGGAAACGCCAGAGGGTGGCGCCTACGCCAAGCCTGCAGCGCAGGCCAATTTTGCGTTACGCCTCAGAAGGATGCGATATCC